CCCATAATAACACTTATTCACTCTTTCTTTATGCCACCACTCCAATTGGTACCTACTCCTGAAAAGACAGGTGTTACACTGATGTTCTTCAATGTTTTGTAAAGTGCATATTGGTAGACCAAGGGTGTTTCACCTTGGTATGTCAGGCCTATGATATAACATACTTTAATCATATAACCCTCTCATTATTTACACTTTCTCTATCACCATGCTCCCCTAATATTGAACATCTTACAAAACATTAGGATATAGTATACTCATATATAAATTACATGTTTTGATATTTTTCATTCTTTGAAAAATATTTTGGTCTCCTTCCCCCTCCTGTGTCCCCTCAGACAAATATACTAAAACAGTCTTGTACTCTCTCTCAATATAAATGTATGTATGTATAAAGTATCATATAAGAATTTGTAAGTTAAATAACTTATAGGTCTAGCTTCCTCATATGAGGGAAAACCTGTGACCTTTCACTTTTTGTGTTGTTATTGTGCTGTGTTGGGGTACATCATAGCATTTACAAAGATTCTTACAATGCTTCAAATATGTCTTGTTTGAATTCACCACTCCACTGCTCTCCTTCATCCCCCATCCCCTATTATTGAGCCTTGCTCACTTCACTTAACATGATGCTCTCCAGTTTCATTGATTTACCTGCAAATAACTTAATTTTATTCCTTTTTTATGGCTGAATAAAACTCAATTGTGTATATATACCACATTTTCTTAGTCCATTCATCAGTCATGGGGCCCCTATTTTTTTTCTAAAACTTTGCTATTGAGTAGTGCTGCAATAAACCCAGACATGGAAGTGGCTCTACTATATTTTGCAGCACATTCCTTCAGATATATGCCCATGAAGAGTATTGTTGAATCAAATGATAGTTCTATTTTTAGTTGTTTGAGGGACCTGCATATTTTTTCCATACCATTTGTGCTAATTTACATTCCCACCAACAGTATACAAGTATTTTTTTCTCACATCACTGTCAGTATTTGTTCTTGTTTTTGTTATTGATGGCAGTCATTTGATTGGGTTGTGGTAAAATCTCAATATTGTATTGATTTGTATTTTCTTTATAGCTAAGAATGTTGAACACACATCTCACAAACTGTTTTTTCTGTTGCACATTCTTCTTTATTCTGTACATAATACTTCTACTCCATATTTGAGAAAATTTAGCCAAAATCACAATCTTATATCAGCAGCTCTGGATAACATTTACAACATACACTTATGGATGATAGTTACATTTACATTTATGCCTTTTTTAGTACAAAAGGAAACAAATTTGACTATAGGAAAATAATATAATGCAAAATGAATTATAATTGTATGGGAATGAGTAGTGGGCTCTACGATTAATTCTCTGTTTTCAAATATAATTTGTTCTATCACTAGTAGAGTGATAATGAGCAATTTGTGTAATTTCTGTGCATTCCAGTTTAGTCATGAATAAAACACAGTTACTAAATACATTTATAGAGAAAGGGTTGAAGTAAACTCAAATTCATTCTTTGAATAGAATAACTTATGCTGATGGAATGGGTCTAACAGCTGTAAGACATAAATCAAATTCCAAGAAAATTCTTATGCCTTTACTGAAACAAAAAAAGGATGGCTTTCTATTGCATGAGATTAAAATTAGGGAGAAAGTCAGTTGGAGTATTAATACAGATAATAGAAGGAAATATCACAAGGAAACTCCCTGTGCAGCTACCTTTTCCTCAAGCAAGCTTAAATGTCATGTTTTTCATTTTATCTTTTCTCTTTTTTATTCCACAAAATTGGAGAACTGAAGGGCAGAACAAGTCCATTTTGGGAGGGGAGAGCTATCACCAGTGAGACAGGGCAGGTGTTGTGAAAAAGTGTTAGGTGAGTGAATACAGTGCAAAAAAACATGCGCAAATGTAAGTATTGCAAAAATGATACTATTGAAACTACTCCAGGAATCAGGGGAGGATGGGAAGAATAGGAATGGTTGAGGAGAAGCCTTCATGCATAATATATGTTTTTAAGATATATGTTTTAATCTTAAAACCTTTAAGAATTTTTTAACTTAAATACTATTTTTAACATTATATAATCTCCTGAAAATGTTTGCAAACATACAAAAATATGAATTTTCTAAATCACAGAAATAAATGAAAGGAAAGGAAAGCAAAAAGTTAAAAAAATGACAAGAAATGTGGGAAAAGGTTATGAATGTATGAATGAGATAAGGCATTTTTTAGGATCATAGATTAATCAAAACAGAAAAATGTAAACATTTATTAAATTCTTATTTCTAATTAAAGTTAAAAAACAAATACTGACATCAGCAAACATACATTATAGAGAACAGAAATATCAACATCAAAATAAGTCTCAATACTTTTACAGGCAGCTTAGCTTGGACAAGGTAAAATCAAGAAATATGAAAGTAGTGAAATAGAGCATGTATTTAAAAAAGGTTAATAAATTAGTAGTTTAGAAATTTTCTATTTTAAATTAATTGCTAAAAACGTTAAGTTATGCTTTTGAAACTTAGGAGCACTTTGGAAACAAGTCAAACATAGTTTTATGCAAAAAACCTTAATATCAAATTGATTCAGAAAATGTGTACTTATACACAATTGAATTTTATTCAGCTACAAAGAAGAATGAAATTTTCTCATTTGTAAGAAAATAGATGGAACTAGAGAACATTATTTTAAGTGAAGTTAGTCAGTTCAGAAGACCAAAAATTACATGTTCTCCCTCATGTGCAGATTATAGACCTGAAACACCTAAAACAATTGCAGTAGCATTATTAGCTAGATCACATGCTAAGGGTAGACCACACAGGGAGGGATAGGGAAAGGGAAGGAAAACTACAACTTGAACATGGTTGATGTGCTCACTGTAGGGTGAATATAGCAATCTTAAACTGGCAGAGGCCACCACTGGAATGGGACTAGGAAGTATTGAAGAGGTCTGGTTGAGATGAACCAATTTGGGAAATAATGCACATATGGATGGAAACAGCACAAAGAATCTCCCTGTATAGCTATCTTTATCTCAAACTAGGAAAAATGCTGATTTTCTCTTTTCATATTATATGTTTTTCTTCAAGAAAATTTTTCTTTTTATATAATGTTTTTCTTCAAGAACAAAAGAGAAGAACTGGTTCTGCATGGGACAGGGGGATGTTGGTCCAAATAATGTATGTACATGTAGGAACATGTAAATTTAATTAAAAAATTAAAAAACTTCATGTGAATTTCAAAAATAAATGATTTATAAAATCATATTGTATCATTAAAATAACCTATGTATTAAATTTTACAAAAGTTTAGTGAAAAATAGCTTAGAAAAGAGGTACTTCTCAAATAATGTTTAAATAGAAGAAAAAATGAAAACTTCATATCTAAAATATGCAGACAAAATTTAAAAAAAAGGAAATTTTAGAAGTTGATTTGGCCAAAGATAAAATGATGCCACTAAGTCATAATTCATTGTCAATTATTCATTTTGCAAATTTTCACTACAAAAAATGTGAAAAAGTTGAGTCAAAATTTAATTCAAGATTCCATTTTTCAAGAATATTAGGAAGATAAATGAATCAGATGAAAAACAATGCAGAAGTTTACCAAAGTTCCTTTTTTTTTTTTTTGTAGTGCTGGGGTTTGAACTCATAGTCTACAACTTGAATCACTCACCACCCTGAAATTCTTAATATTCATGAAAATGTTTGTTTTTCACATTTCACAGTCACACACGTAAATGGTCTCACTCATGAAGAATTTTAAATTGGTAAATTTACTTTATTTCAGATCCAAGCTTTCAAAGTGAGACCCACTATTTTTGCCTACCTGCTTAGAGCAAATGCATTTCACAGCTTTCATTGATAAATAAAACATCAACTGTTACAATTTAAGCTGAATGCAAAAAGTTTTACACAGGAAATGACCGCAATTCCATTTGCATAAGACACGATCAGATGCACAATTACTTATTTATAAAACTAGCACAAAACTATAAATAAGTGTTACAAGCTTACTCTGCAAAATTTTTTGCATTTGGAATTGTCTCCAATATTAGCATGAGTTACTTTCTTATAACTAATTTCTACTTCAATGGTTTAATTTTTCTGGATACAAATTGAGAAATTGCCCACAGTTTTCCTTTGCAGTTATTTTTCTTTTTCTGAATTAAACTAACGATCTTAATTTTTTAAAGAGCAATGCATATTGTTCAAAAGACATTGTACATTTCAATATTGATGGAAAGTAACTCCTGAGATGATAATGGCCAGTAGTCAGGATTATTGCCTTAAACAAATCTCATCTATTCTTCGACCAAATTGGTGTAGAATTACTACTTATTTTGTATGATAGAGAAGGCTAAGATGTAAACTTTCAGTTATTTTTAAAGGACTGTACATCAAAGAATGTTTCTTTTATTTTAAAGGGATTGACTTCTTTTTTTTTCCAAAAGATTTTTAAAATTATTATTGGTGTGCTGCATGGGGGTACATTGGGGCATTTACAAAAGTTCTTACACTGTATCAAATATATTATACTTGAATTCATCCCTTCCATTGCTTTCTTTCATTCCCCCCTGCTGCACTTTCATTTCCCTTAGTAAAGGGAATGATTTCTGAAACTAGTTTCATTTTATCAAAATACATATCTTTTTTAATAATAAAATTCTGTAAAATTGGAAGATACAAAGTATAGTGTATCACATAACTTTAAGAAACACAATCTTATTCTGTTATTTAAATTATCAGTACCCTTTAAAAGTCACATATATTTAGCTAATAAATTTACACTTATTTTTTGATTTACAATCACAGTAAGGATTTTTAAAAAACATGTCCCTAGATATTACCAAAACTATGCATGGATAATTATATACCAGCTCCACAGAAATGTAAACATGAAGAAAATCAATTGATTTTACAGAAAGACCAAGAACATGTCCAACATGAAAGAAAGAAAAGATGCATTTAAATGTTTAGAATCACTTATTTTTTTTACCTGGAACCCCCACTCTTCTGCATGACTCTAGTGAAAGCATTCTTTACTTCTTTGTTTCTAAGACTATAAATGAGAGGATTCAGCACAGGGATCACAATGGTGTAAAAAACAGAAGCCACTCGATCCTTTCCCAAAGTGTAAGACTTACTTGGTTTTAAATAAGTAAAGATTGTAGTGCCGTAAAAAATAGTGACTCCTAGGAGATGAGAAGCACAAGTAGAGAAGGTTTTCTGCTTTCCTGAGGTGGAACTGATTTTCAGAATGGTATAGAGAACAAACATATAGGACACAGATATTGTGATTAAGGACAACAGTAGGGTAGAACCAGCAAAAATAGATATTACAATTTCTATGACAAATGTGTCATCACAAGATAAGGATAAAATTGGGGATGACTCACAGAAAAAGTGATGGATTACATTGGAGTTGCAGAAATGCAATGTACTCATGCAAAACACATTGATAGAAGAATCCATAAAGCCAATCATATAAGACCCAGTGAGGAGGGCACAGCACAGCTTTGTGGACATAATTACTGGATAGTGTAGAGGATTGCAGATGGCTATGTATCTATCATAAGCCATTGAGGAGAGAAGAACACATTCAGTAGCACAAAACCAAACAAAAAAGTACATCTGTGTGAAGCAGGCTGTAAAAGAAATATTCTTGTTAGAAGTCACTAAGTTCCCTAAGGTTTTAGGTGTGATGACATTTGAGTAGCAGATGTCAAGAAATGACAGGTGACTGAGAAAAAAGTACATAGGAGTGTGAAGCTGTACATCCAGGTGAATGATCAATATCATCCCTACGTTCCCCAGCACAGTGACCAGGTATATCAGGAGAAAGAGCACAGAGAGCACCAGTTGGATCTCTTCTGAGTCTGTCAGCCCCATCAGGATGAAGTCAGGCACATGTGTGTTGTTCAACATACTCATAGTGTGCTCCTGTACACTAATTAGAAATCAAGGTTTATGCTTGGCTCAAATTACTCTAAAATGGTTTCATTTTGATTAGCTTTAATGTATTTTTTAAAGTAGCTTAGATAGTCTCCTAATCAATAATAAATTTACAGGTTCTCATGAAATGATTAATTTTCAGATATAGGTGGATAAAACTGACATTTGGGTATGATGGCACAAGTTTAACATACTTCATAATTAGAATGAAATGAAAACTATTTCAAATTCTTTCCATTATTAGCATATTTAATCTACATGATATATTATACCATAGATTTTATATAATCCAGTTATTTTTCAGAAAAGGGGAATGGTGAGTAAATTCCACAATAATTTCCTGAGTCATTGCAATGCTTGCTGATTTTATGGTTTTATCAAGATATTTTGATTTCAAAGCCTATGTACACACTTCTGTTTTCCTGTTCAAAATTAGTTTAGTAAACCTAAACAAAATGCTGGATATTTAATGTACAATGATAGAAAACTGCTTTAACATATCTTTTAATGTTTTGTTTGTAGGATTCATATCTAAGTAAATTTCATTGTATGGGACTCTTAGGGAACATTTTGAACATAGACCACAAGTAAACTTTTATGTTTAAGACATGAAATGTCTTACTAAATTCAGTATCCAGAACCAAATTTGCACTATGATTGTATTTTGAATATATTCACACTGGTTTTATACTCTGATTCTATCAACTCTGCCTTTAGTTTCCACAAATGTTGACAATACTCATGGTAAAGCCCAAATGATATATGTATGAATATTCTTCTAATAAATGTCCTTTTTTTAATCTAATCTAATACAATTCAGTTTTAAGAGTACTTACTGTGAGACAAAGTTGGTAAAAAAAAAACAGAAAAGAAAAACTTCTTCCAATATCATATGCCCCAAAATTTATCAGCCTCAATTTTTTGCACAAATTCAATATAAAATCCATTTAAGGAGGCAAAAAAATATGTAGTACAGCACTGGTGGTTCTTGACATCATTATCTTTAAATTTTTGTACACTCATTTTTTTATTCTGAAGCAACTTAAATTACCCTAGATAATTTGTTCAGTTTTTCAACTGGAATGTTTACAGGGACCAAATTTCTCAAAAGAATCTTAAGATGCTGGATTTATGGTGAATACATTCAGAGAAGCGTGTGCTGTGACTCTCAGTCTGAAAAGTCCAGGGCACCTCACTCAATGGACATGAAGATCACACAACAGTTTGTCACCCTCAGGGACCAAAAGGAAAATTACTTGGTGTGTATAATTTGAGGACTAAATGAACAAAGGCTTTGCTTTTCCACATAGCAGCTCCACAATGAAGAAAATGATCAGTGGATCTTTGGTGTACTAATTTTATTAAATAATTTTAAGTTCACAAATAATTAACACATAAAAGTATGAGGTAAAAGATTAATTGAATTAGGAAACTTTTCACTTGTGTGAAAGCAAGGAACTTTTCAGAAAATGTATTATTTTATGATTACACAATGAAGTGTTAAGTATTTTATACTGAATACTGAAAAGTGTGTTTCTATAAGGTGTAAAATGTGTTGTTTAAAAACATAGAACACATCAAAATTCAAAGAACTCAATTAAAGCTGTCTAAACTGATAATTTTAATGTGATTTCCCCTAAGTATTTCCCTTTTGCACAGAGTACATATTTGAATAAATAAATATGAAGTTGCATAATTATTACTATACTATATATTCAGTATCACGTTCATTTGACAACTAAAATTTTATGATAAACCATGACCTTTGCTCTGTTTGCCTTTTATAAACCCCAGTCTTTCATTTGTTCTGTTGTTGCTGGAGTCCCATCATTCAGTAAGGGAAATGTTGAATGCTCAAGAGGTGATAAATACACATTTTGACCCATCAGAAATGTGCAGATTCTGTGTTCTATATTTTCATCTATCACCTGCATGCAAAAAGTTCAGTGTGCTTTACTATATTATCATCCTTTTTTGTATGTTTAATAAAGGAAAATTAACTACTCAGGAGGTAGACATCAGGAGGATTTTAGTGTCAAGCCATCTCTGGAAAAAGTTTTTGAGACCTACATCTCATACAATATCTGTGTATGTTGGCACCCTCCTACTATACCGGCTATGGCAGAAAGCATAAATAAAAGGATGATACAGTCCACACTAGCCCTTGAAAAGAGCGAAACACTACTCAAAAATAACCAAAGCAAAAGACATAAAGGAGTGCTCCAGTGATAGAGCACCTGCTTAGCAAGTGTGAAGCTCTGAGTTTGAACTTCAGTATGGCCGAAAAGAAAAAAAGGAAAAGAAAAGCATCAGCCTTCACAATAGAAAATATTTTGAAATTAATTTAGTGTTCAAAATCTCATTCCTATGTGTGTAATCAGACAATTTAAAAAAAGAATTTAGAATATTTAAGGCTGGACTATAAGCTCAGTGATAGAGCACATGATGTGCAAGGTCCTGTATTTGTTCCCCTGCACTGAAAGAGAGAGAGAGAGAGAGAGAGAGAGAGAGAGAGAGAGAGAGAGAGAGAGAGAGGAAGGAGGGGGGAGGGAGGAAGGAAGGAAGGAAGGAAAGAAGAAAGGAAGGAAGAAAGGAAAAAGAATGAGGAGGAGCAAAGGGAGGGAGGGAGAAAGGACCTATAATACAAAAAAGGATGAAGAACCTGACAGATACTCTGGTGAGGTCCTCCTTCTTCAGTCTGTTATCATGAGATCATACCCATTGTAGATCATATCTCCTGAATTTCTTATTCTTCATGAAACATAAAGATGAAAATAGGCAACATTCCCTAGGTTATTAGGTCCTCATTCTTACAGGTGCATGTGTAACACAAAACTTTTTTGAAGTACATTTGAATGTTTTCTCCAAATATTGTTTAGCCACTTTTAGTTTTATATCTAACTAGAAACGCTAGGTGCAATGAAGAAACTTACCTACCTTACAATAACTTACCTACCTACACAGATGAAGATTTTTGAGAACTGAAGAATTACATAAATCCTTCACATGAATTATTTCATGTAGCTACATGAAATAACAAATCCAAGAAAGATATTTCTATTCTCTTTTTATCACAGATGAGGTAAACATACATAAAAATTTAAGTAATTTGCTCAATATTCCATACCTGTTAAAAATGACATCAGCATTCAAATGAAAGGTGACTTTAAGCTTGTTGCACATGGGGTGAAATGATTCACTGACCTTAACTTGAGTTTACTTACTCAATTTCTAGGTAAAAATTTAGGAAGAACTAAGTCATAATTTAGTCAGTGGCAGAAATAAAACAAAAAATAATGCATTAAAAATTTTTGGAGCACAGGATTCACTGATTTTAAAATTCAAAAGATTCATACTATGCATAGAATTTTCAGGTTCTCAGCATGGGTGAACAACATTAAAAGAGGAAAGAAAGAAGTATACAAAAGGGGAAGGATTGAGAAAGCAATTGATGGAGATAAATATGATCAATACATATTGTATGTATGTATGAACAAAGCATTAATGAAACGTACTAAAAACTAAAATAAAGGAAAGAGATGGGAGAAGTGACCCAAACAATGTATATACAGGTGAATAAATGAATAATTAAAAAAATTAGTAAGCTCATAAAAAGAAGAGATGGGTATGAGTGAAAAGACAATGTAATAGGGGGGTAATCTGATCAAAGACAAAGTATGAATATGTGAAAATATGACAGTGAAACCACTTTTACAACTAATATTTGCTAATAACTTTTAAAACAAGTATAGAATTCAGCAGAATAACAGCAGAGGCAATGAGATCAGGTATATATGTACTTAATTTCAAGTTCCACCACATTTTCTAGGTGCAGAATAGAGATATTTCACTGTTAAGAATAATGGAGATATTTAAAATCATGGCAATGGGTAAGACATAAGAGATTGCCAAACATGCATTTGCACACTGGATAAAAAACTGCAAATAAACTTTACTTCACACCATTTAAAAATTTTTTTTAAATCTAAAATGTAATAACTTTCTGTGAGACTAATCCATTGCTAAGCTTGCATTCATCCAAGTACTCTGAAATCCGAGGAAAGAGAAGAGTCCTAAAAAAGAAATAGAATGCGTGAATCATTTCAATTTAGAAAATACACATATGATGTTAGAATGTGTGGGTTTCACAAAGATATGTAGAAACAACTCAACTACACTTTAAGGAATTGTAAAAGTCAATTACAGGTTGTTGAAAAAACAGACTCCAGAAATGAGAGTGAACCTTATTCTAAAAGTCTTCTTTTCCAGATTATGCCAATGCTTATGGTAATAACTAAGAAACTCAACTTGTGAAAGTACACATATTCCAGTTAATTTTTAAATAAAGCCATTGATAATTACTTGAAAAAGATGCAGGGAGGAAGGTAAACAACACATATGAAAATGCCAGAAACACCACGGAATCTAGAAAAATGTGCATTCAAATATTGGAAATAAATATGAATAAACACAAACACATTCACAGACCAGAGACAAATCCTCAAACAGGATAAGGAGAGTAAATGTAAATTAGTAAAGAATATGTGAACTACAAGTTAAATAGGTATCAATCATGCAGGATGATAAAGAAAGTGTTAATAAAAAGTAAGAATATTGCTACTATATCCAGCCATGTAATATACATAGAAAGATAAATATTTGAAGATATAATGGTCCTTAGTTCTCTAAAAATAAGAATTGTATCAAATCATTGGTCCAAAAATACAAGCAGACCTCAGGGAGGAGGAATACAACATGTAAACAGGAACTGGAGATCATAATATTAGGTGAAATACATTAGATTTAGGCACGTATTATATGATTTCTATTTAAATAAAATCTAGTAAAACAAGATGACATGAAAGTAGAAAGGAAACTATTAGAGAATAGGAAGTATATGAGGGAAAGGATAGGAGAGGATAATGAGGGAGGAAATGAACAAAATGTATGTGTATATGAAAATATCACAAACTCACTAT